AGAGGGAAGAAATGAATGGGGGTGAGGAATGGCTAGTCTGCTTAATTGGTTGTCAACTTTCTAGCCTCACTAGATTCTCAGACCATGAGATTCTTTATTAATAAACCTGAGGAAAAGGTTACCACCAGGACCTACTGATAAAGGGCCTTCCAGGAGTCTGACAGTAATTGGGTGGGGGTAATTGGGAGTTATTCTGACCTGACTAGACCCATGAGTTGGTAGCTTGAATCAGAGTTCTCAGTACTTTGGGTACCTTTGAGAAGACAGTGAAATCATCTCCTTGGCATGACATATAAGCTCTTTACGTTAGCTTCCTACTGATTTCATCTCTCACCATTTTGGGTTTTTGCTATAATGATAATAAACTACTATTCTCCTTCTAGCATATATCAATGCTGTGTTTTTGCCCGCTTATTTATGCTCATGCCATTTCCCCTGCCTGGTGTGCTACACATGTATGTTCTCATGTGAATACTCAGTCATATGTCTTCATCTAGCTGATATCTGGTTTCTTGGAGAAATCTTCCCTAGCCCCCAGACTTGGTGAGGAATTTTCTCTGTACCCTCGCATCCCTTACCTTTCCACTGTTTCAGCACTTAATCTCTAAAATGTTGTTAAAGTGTCTCTCTTACACACTAGACTAGGAGCTCCTCAAGGGTAGGAACTGTGTCTGATTCACTTCAGGGTCCCCACAGCCCAGCACAGGATCTTCCATGCTGAGCTAAGCTTTCATGAGCCCCAATGTCTGTATCCCCTCAACCATGCCCTCCCTGCTCATTCCAACCTCCTTCATTCAACAAATACTCACTGAGCACCTACTACTCCACTGGTCTTGAGCTCTGATGATGACTGGCACAGTCCCTGCTTGGGGAGCTCCCAGTCAAATGGATTTTTACCACACAAGGAATGAGTTATAAGGCAGAGGGAATCACTGGGGAAATGAACCACACCGAAGCTGGGTCCTGAAGAATGAGAAGTTAGGTGAAGAGTTTTGTTTAGTTCTGACATTAAAATTCACATCCCCAGTAACTTCAGAAAATTTCCTTTCCCTCTCCTCTCCTTCTCTTCTGAATTCCTGTATGGCCTCTGGTTCTTCTAATTGTGTTAGAATGTTATGGCTTGTTCTGTCAGTGTTCCAACTGAGAGTGAGACAAAGAGGCATAACAGAGTCCTCCTTTATGCCCCATCTCTGAGCTTCAGTTTTCCTATCTACAAATTATGAGTGATAAACCCTGCCTTGGCTTACCCACCTCACAAGGTTTTCTAAAATTGTATTTGTGCACTGTTAAGAACAATGCAGAAGTGAGGAATGGACTCTCTTATTAGCGTGGCTTCTCCACAGGTAGATTTGATCTCTTTGTGTTCCTGACACTCAACATCAAACCTGGTGCAACATCTGTACAGTAAGAACTGGTTTATTGATTGACCATGAATGATGAAGAACCAGAGGGCTTCCCCGAAGACAATGGAAGGGTAGAGACTATAGTGGGAGGAGAAAATATGGGAAGGGGAATTGCCATGTATTCTATGTGAATCACTTCACATAGTTTTGTGTGTTTAATTATCATTAATACCCTATGAGGTATATAGCACTGACCCCATTTTACAGAAAAGGACATAGAGGCTGAAGGTCATTAGGGAATTTCCCTGAGGTCACAGAGCTAGTAACTGACAGGCTGTATTAAAATCCAGGCTGGCTCTCAGGCCTTTTCTCAATGCCCACCTTCCAATGTGTCATGTCCTTCCCTCAGAGTCAGTTCTTCAGAAGGAATTGGTGCCTTTGGCTTTGACCTGTTTTCTCACCTTCATCTATAGTGATGGTGAAAGCCTACTTACTACTTTATCTGTTTGCTCCTTTCTTAGGCAAGCAATACACTCCCCTCCACATGCCCAAACACTGCCACTTGCCATAAGCCAGTCAAATACCAAGGAGCTAATTTTTGTGATATTCATTAAGGAAAAGCTATATGCTGAAGGGTCTCTGATGCTGAGGATAATGAGCCAGCAGCTGCCTTCTTCTTCTTCGTCACATATCCACAATTAGCGAGCACTTCTGCAGCTTGCTTTTCTCAGGTCAGGAACTCAGCCACCGGAGAGGCTAGCAGCTGGATCTGGGCTGGCAGGAGCTGTGAGTGCCTTTATGCTGGGAAGGCTGAGAAAAGGAGCCTCATTTGTACCTAGGGCCTCAGGCTGCTCTGTGGATGGTGGAGTAACAGGTGGGAGGTGGGAGGAAGAAAGATATTCTCCCCTTTGTGGGAAGAGATGATAAAAGAGGGAGAAAGATATAGAGGTGAGAGGAGCAAGATGAAAGAAGAGCAGAAAGAAACGTTATAACAGGCAACTTTTGTTCAGCAATTTATCCATTTTCTCACTCAATCCTCCCAACTGCTCTCAGTAGGAAGACTCTGTTGTTATTCCTACTTGACAAATGAGTAGACTGAGAATCAGAGAGGTTAAGTGATTCAGACAGGTGCAGTGACTCTCCCGGATTCAGACACTGTGGTAGTAAGATCAAGCAAACAGACTTTAAAGGAAGAAAAAAGATATGATCAAGAAGAAAGAATGCCAAGTGAAAGGAAGAAAGAGGAAGAAACGAGAGGCAGGGTTCTATATAGACTTCAGATTCAGGCAAACACAGGTATAAACCTGATTTCCACTAACACAGCCACATGTATGAGTGTTACACAGAACTTTGAAACCTTTGTCTTCTCATTTGTAAATTGGAGATGATGACAGGCTCTTGTGAGGATTAAGTAATGATATTTTAAAGCTCCTAACATAGATAGTAGATGCTCAACAGAAAGTTCAAGGAACATAAGGGGGAAATGAGCTAAATGAAAAGAAAAAGAAAAAAAGGAAGAGAGGCTTTTGAAAAGAAATGAAGACTTGGAAGGAAGGAAGAAAAAGGGGAGGGAATGGGCTGCCCTGGGGACATGATGGGAAGGGCAGCTTCTGCTTCTGAGGGCTGCCACCAACCTGGTCAGGATTCCTCAGGTGGGATAGGCCACATTGTCTGAACTAGGAGGGCCTTGGATTGTTTCTCTTGGGACAACCAAGTGTTATTCATTGTCACAGAAAGAGTTGTCAGAGATCTCAAAAACCAGACAAGAATGTGGCACACCTCAGGCAGTTTCCCCTGGGCCTTTTATTGGGCTTTTGAGGGGAAGGAAAGATCTATAGAATCATTTTAGTGGATTTTAGGCTTTAGGGAGGAGGAACCTCACTGAATGGAGACAAGCCAGTGTGTTTGTGGGTAGAAAGGATCAAATAAAACTTCACTTATTCATTGTGGCGCTTTTTTTTTTTTTTTTTCTACTGAGAACTGAACCCAGGGGTACTGAGCTGTATCCCAGTCCTTTTTTATTTTGAGATAGGGTTTCAAGTTATTGAGGCTGACCTTAAACTTGTGATATCCTGTCTTAGCCTCTGAGTCACTGGGATAACAAGCATACACCACCATGCCCAGCTCATTGTGGCTCTTGGGCTGCCTCCTAGAGCCCAGATTAGAGCTGGCTGGACTTGGGTGAGAAGCAGGGGAAAGAAGAAAATCCCTGGTCAAAAAGTCCAAAACTGAGGCTTCTCATACTGGTGTTTTTACTTACCTTGGGCAAGCCAGCTTAATTCCCTAGGCCACAGTGTCTGCACTAGTGATATGGAGAGGATAATGTGAAAAGCAAATGAGATAATGGATGTACTAAATGCTTTAAGAAGTATAAATGCTCACATATTTAAGCAAACACCTTATGACACTCCTTCTGTGTCAGGAATCGGGCCATATACTTCACATGCATTATCTTGTTTTGTACTTGAAATAACTCTGTGACGTAGGTAAAATTATCACTATTTACAACCCTGGGAATTGATTTGTAAAGAGAACAAGTGATTTGCATGGGACTAAATAGCTGGGTCAATGGTAGATTGTCTGACTCTACAACCTGTGCAGGTAACCCTTGCCCTATACTGTCTCCTTGAAGCAGTACCCTCTGCCTGTGGAATTAGGCCTCCTCACTTCACTTCTGAGTACAGGCCATATTGATCCAGAGTACTCTGCTGGGGGCACAAAAAGGTTCCAGCTGAAGGAATGGGGAAACTATGTACCTGTGTCTCTTCTCTCCTAGGGTTTGACTTCTTTGAAGCCAGTGCCAAGGAGAACATCAGTGTGAGGCAGGCCTTCGAGCGCCTGGTGGATGCCATTTGTGATAAGATGTCTGATTCGCTGGACACGGACCCCTCTGTGCTGGGTGCCTCTAAGAATACACGTCTCTCGGACACCCCACCACTGCTGCAGCAGAACTGCTCATGCTAGGCAAGGCCCACTCTCCAAGCCTACCCCTGTTGTGCCCCCATGTGCACTTTGCTTCTCCTTGTTATACATTGTCCATTCCTAGCCCCCAGCAAGCTGAGTTGCTGCTGTTCTTTGCCATCCCCTGGGGAGTTCTCTGCAGGTGGCCCCAATTACAGATGCTCAGTACTAGACTAACAGCACAGGACATGGCATTGGTGGAGATTCCCTTTAAAAACTCCATTTTATGAAGAGGATTTAAATCAGGGACTTGTGAAGAGTTTACTTTCTGCCTTTATGATGAGATTTCCTCCATTTACTAAAATTTGTCACACACCCACACTTTTCAGGAGCTGGCCAAATGTGTAAAGTGAGTCCTACCTCTACAGCTAATCCTATTAAAGAAAACTTCCCAAAGTACAACCTTCTTGCTTCATATCAGGCTCCCTGTGGAGTTTTTTCTCACCACAGTCAAGCTTTGGCTCACAAAGTCCCATGCTTGTTACAATGGATGCCCACAGGGCCTGGGCAGTTGCTGTGGTGACAGGCCAGCACTAATCTCTGGAGAGCTCAGACTCTCTAGTGATGCTGAAGGAGCAAAGGCTGAGTCAGAAATATACTTAAAAGGATTATCTCCTGCAAATGTCAAAGGTACCTGCTATATGAAATAGCAAGCAATGAGTGCAAGAAAGAGAAAAAGAAATAACAGGCAAGATAAAGAATGGGTCATTAGTTTCATATTTTGCTTCTTTCCAGCTGGTTCTTGATTGTGGGGACTCCACGAAATTGATCTTTGGATCTTGGGCTCCCAGGACCTGAAAATTTTAAGAGTTGGTGAGATACCTAGTCTAATTAATCAGTCCCAACCTTCCCATCTCTTGATAAGTGGCTGTCAGGCCCTGCAACCAATTCTCTTTCTTTTAAAGCACAGCTTTCATGCAGGGACCCCATCCTTGCACAGCTCTCAGACTCAGAAAGTTTTCCTTGCTTCAAGCTGGAATCTGCCTCTTGGAGATTCTTCTTCCCCTTCCCACCCCAATGGTATCAGCTCTGCTGTCAGAGATCTTGCTGCCTCTGCTCTTTCTGCCCATGATACCCTCCAATAATTTGAGAACAAGAATAATGACCTCTAGGACTTACTTTTTCTCTAGATCAAATCCCTCTAAACTTCTGTTGTTCTTCATAGGATCTTTCTCCCATCCTGCCCCTTTCCTGTAACCCACTTGTCAGCTACTTCTGAGCAGTTCCACTGAGAAATGTGAGCCAAAGCAGAATAAATCAAAAGGGAAATGGCCCTGAAAAACTCGGGAAAACTGAACACAGAGGTCCCAATATCAATCCTGTTGTCCTGGGAGTGACACCTTGGTGTCTACCAAAGAGCCCATTCTGGTGGAAGCCCCTTAATTAAGCACCTGAAGAAAACAACAACAACCAAACCAACCTAACCCCCAAAAATAGATACTCTGAAGCCTGAATAGATTAGTTTATGATTCCAGCTTGTGGACACAGGGACACATTTGGGGTTATCTGAAGTAATGATATGGAACTAGCAATGATTTCTGAAAATGTTTCCTCTCAACCATGGCCCAAATCCTTAGCCTTCTCTCTCCTACACTAACGTGCCACTTCAAGAGTCAGTGTGTGTTTAGGGAAAGAGCCTTTTCTCAGTTTTCTTTCTATTTCAAACACATTTCATTGTCCTAGGAAAATGCATTAGCTGGCAACAGGTCAAATGACCACATAAAAGAACCATCCAGAGTCATCTCTATGGAAATGTTGCTTTTTTTGATGCAATGCAGAGGACAAAATTTGGACTTGCAGTTAGGAGACCTGGACCCTGCCATTTAATTATGTGTGGCTCTGAACCAGCTACCTCCCATCTCTGAGTCTTGATTTTTCACTTATAAAGTGGGGATTTTATTTGCATGATCTTAGGTCTATTCAGGCACAAATAATTCTGTGATTTTATTTTTACCTTCAGCATTTTAGTTCATCTTCAGAACGAATCTGAGCGATCAGGATTATCATCCCAATGCCATTTCAGCTAACACAGATGTCATGCTTACTCTGCACTAGACATTGTTCCAAGCACTTTATACATATTAACTCATTTATCTACCTAACATCTTTGTGAGGAAGGCATTGTAATTGACCTCATTTAAACATGAGGAAATTGGGCTAGGGGTGCGGCTCAGAAATGTATTTGCTTTAGCATGCATGAGACCCTGGGTTCAATCCTCAGCACTGCAAAAATAAAATTAAATTAAAAAGATGATGAAAAGAAGGTACAAAGAGGTTCTTGTTTGCCTAAGGTCGCATAATGAATAAATGGTTGGGGTGGGGTTCCAGGTTGTGGGCTACAAGTTCTGTGTTCTTAACCACATTTTATATTTCATCTCCTTTAGATAGATATTATTCAGACAAGAAACTTGAGCAAGATCACACAAGCATGAGAGACACATTAGGATACAATGCCAGGGCCATCAGATTGCAGATACACTGGAGAAAAGACTTATGTCTTTAATCTGTTAACAAATTGCTCAACTACTCAGACTAATCTGAGGTGATGGATGTCTCATGCTCAGGAAAGCAGAGTTAGTCTCCCAGGCAACCAGATCCCATGGGCCTAAATAGAAAATGCCCAGTACTTCTCAGGGCCAAGTACTGGCTTTTCCTACATTTGCCTCTGTCAGGTTATACTTATCTGACTCTCATGCAATGATTTGAGCAGCCTCCATGCTACTGCAATGGGGCATGTTAGGGGTTTGACTTGATTGACTTCTCTGATCATGGAAATATATATTCCCTTCTCAGGGGTTTGGTTCTAGATGTGTGTGTGTGTGTGTGTGTGTGTGTTGTTTTTTGTTATTGTTGTTTTGGACTTGGGGATTGAATTTAGGGATTCTCTACCACTGAGCCACATGCCCAGTCCATTTTATTTTTTATTTTGAGACAGAGTCTCACTAAGATGCTTAATGCCTCACTAATTTGCTGAGGCTGGTCTAGAACTTGCAATCCTCCTGAGTTGCTAGGATTACAGGTGTGAACTACCATGCCCAGCCTGGGATGTGCTTTAAAATTTTTATTTTATTTTTTTAGTTGTAGATGGATACAATACCTTTATTTTATTTGTTTTTTTTTAATGCTGTGCTAAGGATTGAACCCAGTGCCTCACACATGCTGGCCAAGTACTCTACCACTGAGCTACAACCTCAGCCCTGGGATGTGCTTTTTACTCCATAAAATTGCATATAGTGTCATGGATGATTACTATTTTCTCTGGGCATCTACCTTAGTAGTAGGATTTCAGGCCAAGGTCCCTACTCTGGATATTTTAGTAACTATATCCAATAGTCTGTTCTCTCCTACTGAACATCCAAAGATTAATTGTTTTACCTAAAACTGTTATAAAGTCTTTAAAAGGCAGGAGCCAGTCAAGGGAGCAAGAATCTTCACAACAGATGGAATCAAGAGTTAAATGTTCTAGTGGCAAACTCTTCTACTGGGCAACAAACAGACCTGCTTGTTAGATGACAATTCCCCAGCCCTGCTCTGTGACCTCATTTCTGTTGAGTGGAAGGCAGCAGCTTCCAGCTGATTGCAGTGCAATGTTCATCAATCATAGTAATAGCGCAATTAACCACCAAGGTTCAAGCAAAATAATATGTGCTAGTGAAACTTGTCCTGGATTTCATCTTTCTAAACAATCCAAATAAAAGAAGATTAAAAAAACCTCTTGACCTTTAAAGAGGCAAAATTAGGCTGTGAGTCCAATAGTATTGTAGTTGTTTTATATAATTTGTTGTAAATGCATGTGTATCTGTAAATACAAAATTATGTGTGACTTATGTTTCCTCAGTCTGTAGCATTACTAATGGGGAGCAGCAGTGGGGTAGAGTTACTGAAGGGGCAAGTTCATCAAATACTAAAGTTGGAAAGAAACTAAGAGAATATCCTGTGTTACAGAAGGGAATGTTGAGTTCAAGAAAGGGAGGAAATCTAATTGCCCTAAGAGTCCATTATTAATGAAGCTTATAGGTCTTGGATCACCTGCAAGAAGAAATTCACCTATTCTGAGTATCTACTATGGACCCAACATTATTAAAAACTGAATAAATATAAACAAATCAAATGATCCCTGCCTACAAGTAACTGATTAATGGAGGTACTTAGAAGAATATTTTATTTCTAAGATATTATTATTCCAATTTGGCAGGCAAGCAACATGGTCCTGGAAAAAATTTAATATACATCATTTGAACCCACATTTGTCTGACTCATACTCTTTAAGTTTTCTTCTTTTGTCTCAGATGTATAGTTGATGGGTTGGTGGTTGTGATAGACTCCCAAGGATTCTCAGAGTTAAATAACCTTAGTTAAACCATTGGTTTCCAATTGCTTTGTAACTATAGGCTTGTAACACAGAATGAGATGAGCATCCTCCAGAACCAGACTCTCCCACTCCTATCACTTAATCCTGCCCCAAAGCTCCTTCCTTGGATGTTGAATTTCCTGAAGTGTTTGACTTTGTTTGCCAACAGTTTGGGGGAAGGAAAAGAAATTACAACTATCAGTGTCCTGGGATCTCATCAATTTCAGATTTTCTATCCTAAGCTTATACCCAACTATCTACCATAGTTGAAGAATCAAGTAACATCCTGAGGTTGGAAGTATGAACAAAAACTGGCCTGTGAGACAAAAATACGGTTAAGTGATTTAAAAAAAAATTTTTTTAGTGGGCTGGGGTTGTGATTCGGCGGTAGAGCGCTCACCTAGCAGGTGCGAGGCCCTGGGTTTGATCCTTAGCTCCACATACAAATAAATAAATAAAGGTATTGTGTCTATCTACAACTAAAAATATTTATTTTCAACATTTATCTTTATTTGTAATTAGACATAATACCTTTATTTTATTTATTTATTTGTATATGGTGCTGAGGATCGAACCCAGGGCCTCGCACCTGCTAGGCGAGCACTCTACCGCTGAACCACAATCTCAGCCCCAAGTGATGTTTTTTTAAAGGACTAAATCCTTTATGTTAAGTAGGCAAAACTCAAATTTATTCAATCAACAAATTACGTGCCACGATACAGTCAGTGTCATTTTAGACACAGTCCTGACCTTGAAGCATATAACTTCATAGTTTAGTCTAGACATTGTCAAGTCATCACCCAAATATGGTTACCAAGTACCTCTGAAGGAAATCTACATTGTACTATGAGAACACATGCCTAGGAAACCTGAATCACTTTTGTGGAGCTTTCTGATTTCCAGAGACCTAGGAAGACTCTACTGCCTCCAAGTTATTCTACTACCTATGGGCTTTGCTTTACATTACTCAGTTAATATTTCATCTTTTAATTCCAACTTTTTAAAAAAATATTTTTGAGCTGTTGATGGACTTTATTTTATTTATTTGTACATGGTGCTGAGAATCGAACCGGGTGCCTCACGCATGCTAGGCAAGTGCACTACCACTGAGCCACAACCCCAGCCCCAAGTTCCAACTTTTGATGACTGATCAAATACAAATTTCCCAAGAAGAGTATGGATGAGAGAAAGCTTATCTGTGCCTGTGGAACACCTTTAAAATGCCTGGTTAAGGTAGAGAGCTTGCCTAGTATGTGAGAGACACTAAGTTTGATTCTCAGCACCACATATAAATAAATGAATGAAATAAAGGTCCATCAACATCGAAAAAAAGTGCCTGGTTAAGAGTTAATTGTCTTCTGAGGGATCTAACCAACCACTTCAAAACTTTGTGGCTTAAGACAACAAGCATTTATATTATTTCTCACGATTCTGTGTTGGCTG